GGTGGAGGCCCTACTATCCCAACTCTGTACCTGGAGCAACTGTTCTGGTAACGCATCCCTTCTGAGGGGGGCGGGCAAGAAGGAGGGCCTGTCTCCTGTGGGATTTTCCTGCAATGAGGCCCTGGGAGGAGCCCAGGAGCAGAGGGCCTGCACTAAACAGCCACTCCTCCAGGTCCCCCCCCAGGAGGAGAGCAGCATCGCCATCCCAGGTAGCCGTCAGGACCTGGTAGGGCTCGGGGGATGTCAGTTCTTAAGAGATCTTACTGTGCTGGGGCCAGGGACTGTCTGGATGAGCTCCGCAGGCACGCAGTGCAGGCACTGTACTGTCATTCGCCCACCCTGCCACCCACCACCCCACAGGGCAACAGTCACAGTCTAGCCTATTCTAGGACCCTTTCTCCGACTCGACCGCATCTCGATCTTCAGGCCCACCACGCTCCTGTGCCGATGGGCGCTCAGGCGCAAGCACAGCATCTCAGCAGATAACCACGGTCCTGTCTTTAGGCGGCAGCTGGCTGAGCCAGCAGGGCAACTCCATCCAGCACAGGCTGATGCAAGCTTCAGGGAATGGCAGCTCTAGGGACCAGTTGCTTGCTTTGGCTGTTGGCTGGAACCGAGTCAAGATTCTTACCACAGTAGGGGTGATGCTTGGTGCTGGATACCAGACCATGCTCTAGACCACTGATGCCTTTAAACAGGCACCCGGTGGGCAGACCAACAGCAAGAGTCCAGGTGTGTTGGCTACGGCATCCTCCAGCCAGGGATAAGCAGTCTGAGACTAGGTCACCCAGCTCTCCTTCCTGCTACGGTTCTTGTAAGAGGCAAAAGCTGGGCTGCGAGCTACACTAAGAGACTCCGGATGATGATGGCTAGGCTGAGCCGCTACCATGGTGACCACCTCCCTTCATTCTCCCATGGAGCCTGACTGGCCTGAAGACTCAGGTCCTCAGGCCTGCCCACTGTGCCATGTTTAATGATGACTCAGCCCTCCCACACGCCCCCTGGAGGCCTGAGCAGTTATAACTCACAGAAAAGCTAAGCTAAGGCATCCAGTACCCCTCCGCAGTGTGAGGCCATGCCCCGCCCCCCAGGCCCCCTCACCTGGTTGTCGATCTTGACCTCCGTCAGGGTGGCGTTTTCTCTCAGTGCCTCCACCAGGGCCAGGATCCCAGCTCCGGTGATAAAATTGGATTCTATATTGAGACTTTTCAAGGTCTTGTTTACTTTCAGCATCTCTGCAAAAGCCTGATTGTGTGAAAAAGGAGTAACAAGAAGAGTCTCCTAAAAAATGTCTTCACTAAATTCCCTTTTGAATCAATTAAACCCTCAGTTAAGATCATGTTTAGAAAGAAAGAAAGAACGAAATCTCCTTCCCCTGAGTGATTTTTGTTGACAAAAATAAAAATTTCAAATAAAAAAAAAAAAGATCATGTTTTTGGCTTCTGAGTAATAAAGGTAATAATTTAAATCAGAAATAAACAAATCATTTAGTGTAGCTGTCAGTCATGACTTAGGAATTTCTCATGGCTGAAATATTTTTTAAAGGGTTGTCTTTTTTTAAAAGAAAAGATATTAAAGAAACAGAAAGAACATAATCTCAAAATAACATTTCCCCCCCCTTCTACGATGGAAGGATATAAATCTCGGCTGTCGGCTAGCATTTGGGGGCTATCGGTTTAGCCATGTTATTTCAGGTCGGCTGTAGGCCAGAATCCCTTGAAGATGACTCTTGGAACAAAACCACACCTCAGAGTGGCAAAGCCCCTGGAGATGCCCAGTTCAACACAGCCAATTGCACAAGCCCTGCCTGTTTGCCCTCATCCACCCAGGTTCCCACTGTAATAAAAAATAATTAAAATTTTTTAAAAATGGGAACTCTACCAGTGCAAAAACAAAAAGTGCGATTCTCTTGAGTAGGTGCTGAAATACAGAAAACAGAAAGATTTTGGTGGGGAAATTAACACAAAGCAAGTTACTTCAGGAGATGCCCGTGGTTAAGTTCTGTTCGAGCATTTCATTAAAGCATCTCCTTAGGAACGGATAGAATCACCCAGTCAGACAGAAAGCTCAGCCCCTCTCCCTGCAGCTTCCTCTAGAGAGACCAACTGTGAGCAGAGCGTCATGCCTCCCAGGAAGAGCTCTGGGGGGACGGGCGGGGCTAGGACCTGAGAGAGATGCGGAGCAAACACCTTACAGCAAACACTTCAGAACCAGCCGTTGGCTGAGAGAGATGCGGAGCAAACACTTACAGCAAACACCTCAGAACCAGCCGTTGTAGAGTCCTCTCTGACTCATGGCCAACACAGGTGTGCCTGCAGACCTGTGCTCCACGGGGAGTTCGGTGCTGACTTTTCAGAAGCAGACCACCAGATCTTTCTTCTGAGACACCTCAGGGTGGATTGGAACCTCCGACCCTTCAGTTAGCAGCCAGGTGTGCAAACTGCTTGTGCCAAACAAGGACCCCAAACTAGTTGCCATTGAAGGGATTCTGACCTAGGGAGCCCCGGTGTGTTTCAGAATAGAACTGGGCTCTACTGGGTTTTCAATGGCTCAATCATTGGGGTACATCACCATCGGGCACCCGGGAGTGGTCACCTGCCAGAATGAAGCTCTCCTATTTCAGGGAACTCTCAGGCAGCCTCCAGCTCCTCAGAGACATACCTTGAGAGACAGCAGGTGCTCGGGAGCAAACAGAGAGAGAAAGAGAGAGAGGACAGCATCCTGGCCCACCAAGCTTTGAGGATCACATTCCCGCTTGGAGCAGCCAGTGCACGGAGAGGACTGTAGGGTCAGCCCCACCACAAGACACGATGTCCCCTTACTGACCCACAGCACTATAGGGGGCAGCACCAGAGACACAGTGCGGGAACTGTGCCTGCCTGGTCTGACACCCCCGCCCTCCCCGGGCATAACATGAAGAGAGTGAAACAGAGCAGCAAGGGGAGCAAAGCAACAATGTCTCAGAGGAATTCTGAAAATAGATTTCGGACTCCGGCTTGGGTGGGGTCAGAGCTTGGCACTGTATCACACCCAATTGGAAAAGGGTCAGCAGACAGACCTAGAGCTATTCATAGGCTATTCGTTTTTAATTTTTTTCATGTCTACCTACGTAAGGTAGGCAGGATAAACAATACCAAGGAGAAAAGAACAAGACTGACGGTTCCACAGAGACAGAGAGAGGAGGAGGTGGAGGAAAAGGAGGGGGGAGCCAACAAACCTGGGACAAGGGAACAATGAGATCTAAAATCGATGGCGAGCAGAGCATACAATGCCTGGTGGGGGTTGATCAAGTGCAATGTAGTGGAGAGTAAGCAGAGACACCCAAATGAAGGTCAAACATGATAGTGGAACAGGAGGAAAGTAGACGAAAACAGAGGAAAGAACTAGGAGGCAAAAGACATTTATAGAGGCATGAATGTAGGCATATAGATATGCAAAAATATTAATATAAAACTATAAGGATATAGGTCTAAGTACATATATTTATAGGTGAATTATTAAGGGAGCAGACAGACATTAGATCTCTACTCAAGTCCTCCCTCAATGCAAGAACACTTTGTTCTAATAACTTGGCATTCTGTGATGCTCACTTTTCCAATACGATCGCTGAAGACAAAATGGGTACATAAGCTAATGTGGTGAAGAAATCTGATGGTGTCTAGCTACTACAAGATACAGCGTCTGGGGTCTTAAAGGCTTGACGGTAAATAAGCAGCCATCTAGCAGGGAAGCAAACAAAGCCCGCATGGAAGAAGATCACACCAAGCTTGTGTGATCATGAGGTGTCCATGGAATCAGTTTTCAGGCATCAGAAGAGCCAAAGCCCATCTGTAGACAATTGGACATCCCTCACATTAGGGTCACAAGGAAGGGACAAGCCAGCCAGGGTGCAGTATAGCACAGACAAAACACAAAATTCCTCTAGTTCTCTAATGCTTCCTCTCCCATACTATCATGGCCCCAGTTCTACCTTACAAATCCAGTTAGACCTGAGCATGTACACTGGTACAGATAAGAGCTCTTGACACATGGAATCCAGGACAGATAAACCCCTCAGGAACAGTAATGGAGTAGCAATCCCATGAGGGGAGGGCAAGGGTGGCGGGAGAAGGGGGAGAAAGGGGGAACCGATCATAAAGATTGACATACAACCCCCCCACCAGGGGGATGAACAACAGAAAAGTGGGTGGAGGGAGACAGCGGACAATGTAAAATATGAAAATAAAAATAATTTATAAATTATCAAGGGTTCTTGAGGGTGGATGGGTGGGTAGAGGAGGGAGG